CTTTCCCTAGAAACAAACATATGGTTACATCTTTCTTTTTGCGTTCTTTCTTTTTCTGTCAAATAACAAAACTCAACGCTTTGCAAAAGGGCATCATCAAAGATTAAGGCAATCAGTAACCATAACAGAACGCGTATGAAAAATGGAAGGTGATAGCATTTATGAAATTCCATCATAACTAGCTTGAATTCACAAGTTGAACCCTTCACAACAGTGACAGCAGATCAAAAAAGAAAATCATTTGCATCATTCAATCATGCTTTAAAAGCTCCAGCACAAGGTCACAATATCCCACAGAAGAATTGGAATTCAAAAGGAAATTCTATTTTTAGCTTCCACTGGATTCTCCGTTTGAGCAGAAGTCATGTCTGATACTTCACAAGAACAGAAAGAATATTAATAGTCGAGAGTCCTGAGACATCCATCCTGGAATCAGCAATCCAGGTTCAGAGAGTCTGTGTGGAAATCTCACGGATACAAAGCTGTGTCACGCATGAAAGGGCCCACGGGTGCAAGGCTGTTCACGTATGGCAAATACTTCACAAAACCATCAGTCCTGGCATCACTTACCCGTTCCATCTTATGTGCTCTTACATGATAAGCAATCACTTCCGTCCCAAGAGCAATGATCATTGTGTCATCATTCACAAATGCCAAAGCCCGGCACTGTCCATATACAAGATGACCCAAAACCTTAGAATGAAGAGGAATTACGCGCCTCAGGCTCATGTCCATATTTCCGTAGACCTCAATTGACCATTCATCATCTTCTTTGTGAGGCAGAAGGTAGCACAATTCCCCCCACAACTCTGTCAAAGCACCAGTCGGGTTGCTGCTAGGCGGGAGACTGAGAATTCCATACTCTTCCTCCTTCAAATTGAAACCCAGAACTGCACCTGATTGGGTTTCCCAAAAGACAAATCCTCTGATGTAGAAACCATCGCCATTAAGAGGCAGATCATCCAGCTCCAAGCACATAGCTGTGCATACTCTCCAGGAGTTTGTCCTTGAAGAGTATATTTCGAACAGAAGAGCTGCCCTATCTGGTAGAGTGACTGCACAGACAAGCTCATAATGCGCTCCAAATTTTAGTGCATCAGGTTCAAAGGCAAGTGCTATGGCTGTTTCAGGTCCATGATATAAAGTTGGCTTTGGAACCACCCTCCATTCCTTAGTCACGGGGTTGCAAATGTAGTAAGCATTATCTCCAAGGCGGCTTTGGCAGCCAAGCAATCCATTGCAAGAGGTTCGGACGTCAATAGATTCAGGCAAGAAACGGAGAGTGGGGCTAGAAACGCCATAAGCAACTGGATTGAATGATATGAAGGAGGGACTCTCGCCAGGAAACTGACAGAAAAGACCGGAAACATGCTTGAAGTGGTTGGTCTGCTTGTGGGAAAAAAAAGGACTGTCTATCCACTTAAGCCACTCTTTAGAAACAGTCTTGAACCTGCATATTGACTTGGCTGGAAGGAAACAAAGAACATGCTGCCTAACAACATCTTCAATTTTTATGTCCTCCTGCTTTATGTGACCAGGAAATTGAGCACAGCTTTCTGAACTCTTGTAAGAACTGGACTTGTATGAATAAGTTGGAATCTGCAAACAAAGAAAAGAACAGTTATGAAAGGGTTTGCGAATGAAGATGGAAAAGCTGAATTAATATCTAGTCTCCATGAAACCACCACAACGACAAGCAATATACAAAAGAAAGCTCGCTCATATGATGGTCACTAGAGGCTTACATGGTCGTTAACTTCAGGGCCCGTGGGATTAGTCGTGGTGCACGCAAGCTGACCCGGACACCCATATTAATTTAAAAAAAAAGAAAGCCACTTTTTTTTTTTATAACAACTAAGCATAAATGAAGAGACATGTGTCAGGATTAGGCGGGCCACAAGGCTCAAGTAACGTAATCATATAAAAGTCCATTCGTTATGGAGGTGTGACTGGGTTTTTCAAAAAAAAATTTAAATTAATTTTTTTATATTTTTAAATTTTTTTAATTGTAGATGTTAAAAATAAATTTTAAAAAATAAAAAAATTTATTTAATTTATTTTCAAGAAAAAAACATTTTAAAAAACAACCCTTATCATTAATTGGAAAGGAAAGCAAGGTTTTAGATCACATGAAAAATTACTCCTGTTCTCCCATACATTGCCCCACATTTCAGAGATTTGTATAAAAATTAGCTAAACTGATCACATGTCCAATTACTTCTGGCAAAAAAAAAGAAAGAAAAGAAGAGGGAATGCTATCACCATCCCTCAAATCGAGGGTCACGACAATGACAATGCACTATTTCAAATAGATATAAACCTATTGGTGGAGGCAGGATTTTTTAAATAAAGAAGCAAATTATTAACAAATATTTAATATTTAATATTATATAAATATGTTTTATATAAAAAAAATGTACCAACTCAAGTTAAGTAAAATTAATTTAAGAATTTTTAAAATAAAAAAACTTACATTATAATTATTCTTTATTTTTTTCAAGATTTTATATTTTAAAACTGCTTCACAATGATTTTATTTTTAATATCATTAAAAATATCTTTTTTAATATATACAACAAACTTTTATTTATTTATTTCTAAATCTTCCAAGAACTACGAAAATTCTTGGCAATAATTTTATACTGACATATGATACATAACATCTAAAATCATAGCTTAAAAGGATTGTCATAAATTGATATTGTTCTTGCTGACTTGTTGTTTTATACAAGTGAATTAAACATAAATATTAAATTTTTTTTTTTTAATTTATCTATTATGACCCTAATTTTTTTAGTTGTCCTGTACTTTACTTTTAATTACTAGTAAATTAATTATCATCATTTTTCATATAAAATTCATAGCAAAATATTTATCAATTCATTAAAATTTATTTTAATTTATATTCATTAGTGTGTGTATATTCAACAAATCCATAAATTATTATAAACTTTAATATTTTCAATAACTAATTAGTATAGAAAAAAAAAAGCTAACAAGAAGCTAACAAAAAAATAAAATTAAGGGGGCAATTGCCCCCTTTCGCACCCATGTGCCTCCGCCACTTATGAGCCGGAAATACTTGAGTCTGAAGTAAGCTACACTGTTTCTAACCATGTCTCCAAACTAGTTTAAAGGCTTTTTTTTATCTCCACCTTCTAGCCAAGGCAGTGTTAACTTTCTTAAAGAAAACAGAACCCGACAGAAAAGTGACAAAACAGAAACCACGCAATTGTCATCAAGACACTAACATTACATCTACTAATAAGCTCAACGGAACATACCATGCCATGTTTGCCCTCATCGTCTAACATGAGAGATGAGATACTGATGTTCCATCGCAAGCTTCCCTCAAATGGATCTACTTCATCTGGAAGGATGGGGTCATCATCAATTTCTTCCATTTGGTATTCCTCCAAATCAGCCATTATCTATGATCAAATGAAGCAGCCAATCAGTACTACGAAAAAGGAAGAAACAAATAACATATACATTCATAAATATAAACGATACCAAAACTATAAAAACTTTTCATTCTTCAATACAAAGAGGGTCTAATTTCATAGGTTTTCGTGTTTTTTCTCATCACAGCCAGACCTTGAGTTAAACATCATCAATAACTTGCTTACGAATTCCAAAACTTCCTTCTGAGTTGCGCATATCAAAAGACAGCAAAATTTTAAAAAATCTTCAAACTTCTCATCCAATAATTGAAAATGGAAACAGTGATGCACTTCAGAAGAACTTCTATTAGCATGCCTTTAATTTAAAATCCCAAATAACAGTTTAGCAAATCATTGCAAATTTAATTATCCAATATTCTTTTCTGTTACCATCATTTGCTAATGAACGCTTTAAACACCTTTTTCCGTGACCCGTTTAAAAAATGAAAGAAAATTGAAAGAAAATAAGATCATCACAGTTGATCTTAATATAGAATAGAAAGGTGACGGAGAGGCAGCCGACATAACTCCAATTTATTGCCTTTCAACACAACTAAGAAAATTAAAATAAGGAGAAAATGAACTTATCATCTTGAAGTGCTATCAAGGAAACAAAATCAGTCAAAAAAGTGAAAAATAACTTCACATACATTCACAAATCATATCAAGAAACTCCTACGAATTATCACAATTGCTTTCTTGAATCCCGAGATTCTTTCATTGTTCAACTAATCACGTTACAGACACAAATTTCAATTT